ACTTGTGCAAAATAAGTTGCTTCCTTTTGTAGATGTTGTTAAAACATCTTGATATTGTCATATTTAACAAGATAAAGGGATTAACTGTAGATGTAATCAGTGTAATCCTTGTTATTATGTTTAGAAGATTAACCTTGCTCTATATTGAGGCTTCAGACATCAAATGTTTGGCATTTTAAAGTTTGTTTCTTTATTTAATTTTGCTTTTTTTTGACATACTTACATTGGGAACTGAAATTCATTAAAAAAAAAAAAAACTCAGTGTTGATGAAAGGAGCAGTTCTCCTCTTTGGTGAGTTATCGTCACACATCAAGAAAAAAAGAAAAAGTTACATTTACATCAAACACTGTCGTCACTGACATGTGTCCTCTGCGGCTCAGAGTCAGCGGCTGAGGCACATGATGCTGTGTGACACCTGCTGCTGTGTTTCGCAGGCATGCGTTCACTCAGAGTCACGCGATAAACCATGTGAAAGTCAAAGATGCTGCTTGACAAAGTAAAACTTGTGTCTCCTCTGCTGATCAGAACACTGTGACAGGGGGGTTATCTGTGGTTCAGATCATCACCAGAGTGAGCAAAGGTTTTCTGTCTCCGAGAAGCAGCCGACTGCCTGACGCGCCCCTATCTGTGCGGTATCTGGCAGTGTGCAGTCTTACTTACCTGTAGAGTTCAAGGAAATTCTTCCTCAGTTAGTCACACTCTTCAGGCTTCTCTGGATGAATCAAATAAAAGAGCACCAAAGCTTGATTGGCGTTTAATTGATTGATGTGAGGCGGTGTAACAAAAGACAGTTGTTACAGATCAACATGTGCTGCAGGGAAACGTTTCACTTGATGGGCTTGCCTCCCACAAAACTGTCAGGTTATGAGCTAATGACGTACTGTCAATTGAGATGTTTGATTAAATGGGTGATGACTCTGACAAAACAGGCCTTTAGTAAAGTGAGAAAAAGAATGATTTGACACTGCTGTGGTTTTGAGCGTTGATGAATAGAGACAGACACAGTTCTTTTGTGCGTACAAGTGGAAGTGCATGCGGTTTCACAGGTCATTTCCTCCCTATAAGTCAATGTTAAACTTTAGCAGTCTTTATATGTCTTTGTCTGCTTTTTTAATGAATGCTATGATACTGTTGTTTGTAAGTGATAGCCATCTCTCAGCAGGCCTCACTGGATGCCACAGTTTCAGTATTTTTTACAACGATACAGGGGGCTGAAAAGAAAGGAAGGAAACCAAAAAGCTTTGTTGTTTGAATAGCTGTCGTGCACTGATCTGTGTCTCACTTACCCTTAGATTGACAGGAGCTCATAATATCTCCAGCAGCATCATTCCTGGGATGAGTGCAGCAGTGACAGAACATACCTGGACCCATGTGACTGAGAACATAGTTAAAATGTCTTTGACAGATAACATCTGAAGCCTCTGCACAGTCCCTCTGTCACATGCTCACGCACCCCGACAATCTTGTATCACTGCGGCATCAATGAAGAGGAATGGTCAGCTTTTCTGTGACAGCCCTGTAACATGTTGTGCAATGTGTTAACCATTGATGTTTTTTTTTCCATCAAGTCGTGTATTTCTATATATGTAATCTTCCCTTTATACCCTTTTTTTGCCACACTCATGTCAGAAGTCTGAGCCTTTAAAGTTTCTGAAAAAACCTTCTTTCCCCTGTGACGGTTTCAGAGTTTTAATCATGGCTTGGGGATAAAATTTCTACATTTATAGAAGGACAATAATTCCCTCATATCATCTTTTAACTCAAAATCGTGTATTTGAGGTTTTATGATTAACTTGATATCATGTTTTTCAGTGGTTTTCACTTGATACCTTCTCAGACATTTTTGAGTTTTTATAGGAAGTGCATAGTACATAATATTTTTGTCTCCAAGAGCTTAGTCATTATTATGGGAAAATGAATATTCTCACAAAAACTGCAGTGCAAAAAAAAAGGGAAGGTTATATGAATACAGCAGTGATAATGGTAATTATGAATATTTTTAACTGTCGCTGCAGCTGCCTGTATGTGAAAGGGAAACAAATAAGCTGCTTAATCACTGTAGCAAAGTAAAAAAATATATAGTTTTATTATGGATATGAGATGAAGAAGAAAAAACATTGTTCAGCTTGTAGACAATTAAAAAAAAGATGATTATATTTTTTTAGCAAGATTTTTTTGCAAATAAAATTCAAAACATTTTTTGGTAGTCTAACAATGCCGGCTTTGTTTAGCAAGGTGTGACAAGCAGAAAAGGTTTTGTACGTAAGCCAGGTTAAAGATGAGTCAAAGTGGTGTTTGGTAACCCGCAGAATGATGGCAAAGATAATACTCTAATAATACACAAAGTTAAACTCTTGTTTATGGGGTTTTAATTTTTTCTCGAAATTAAAAATCGAACGCTGATTGGCTTCTTTAGATCCTATGTGTAAACAGGTATGAAAATCTGTGACCAAAGGAGGAGGTCAAGTGGAGGCCTTTAATAAAAATAAAAAATAGATGTTTTATGAGTTTATCTAAAAAAAAAAAAAAAGGCGTCATATCTTTTTTGTTTAGTTTGTGCTACTTTTACACAATATTAAAGAATAATATGTAATGAACTGCTTTGCGTCAGAATCCTGTTCACCCTGTTGGGATTCTACTTCTTGTCACTGTCGTCTCGCCTGTCTACCAAATGAAGAGTCAAACAAGTTGGCAGTAAAAAAGGATTGATTCATACCACTGAATTAAAAAGGATTTATTTCTGCAGCCTATAAAGTAGGCCCTCAGTACTAACAATTGGTGGCTCTTCCCTTATAGTGGGAGTCCTTTCTGCTAACTTACAGTTGAACAAACATTTAGGCTAACGTTTAATTAAAAATTAAGACTGAAAATTATCCTGCTTCAATGCAACAAATCACATTGACCTTAACACCTTTATGCACGGTCAAAACATTCGCTCTTTTCTGTTAAGATTCGTGACATGATGATTCTCATTCTTGACAGAAAATCACAGCAGGTCCCTCTCTGTAACTTTTGTTCACATTACCTTCTCACTCTCTCAGTCCTATAACACCAGCTAAGCCCTACAGATGCCTTTATTATTTCATGTCTGTGTGTCTATTTTATTCTTTTTGGTTGATGTCACTTTGGCCCATCTTCTTGTATTTCTTAACACTCTTGGTTGGATAAAAATAACCTTTACTGATGTACCAGGCTCCTCTCTGCGGATTGATCAAATATGACATATGAGATCTGGTTGTCTCTGGTCATGTTTTTGCCATTCAGAATTAATGAACAAACCTCTTTGATGGGGTTTAGACCATTCAAGATCAAGTATTTAACACAGTAAGATGATTAGTAAGAAAGCTGGGTAATAACTTACATTATTTCACAGTTCATAGTATAGATGACAGCTGGACAGACCACTACATTTATGTTTCGAACACTGCTGTCCAGGAGGAACATTTAAGTTTAGCACTGATGAATTTCTCCCAAAATGTCATATAATATTTATCAAGACAGTGCAATACACGGCCATGAGCAAAAAGTCAGTTTTGTCCAGTCATTTTAGTTATTGCTTTAAGGTTATTCACAAACTCATAAAAGGAAATGAATAGCACAAAAGCAGACACCAGTTAAAAAAAAACTAAATCTTTTAAAAATCGTTCATGCAGTTAAATACGTCCAACATAAAAATGAACCATGTTTGTCATGGTGAGATTGTAGTGATGCGATAGCTAACTTTCTTGGAAATGCTCTCATCATTCCAACCAAACTTGATCTGTCTTTTTAACTTGAGTCACAGCGTACTCTGTAAATTGTAGCTTGAGTCTGAAACACACCTTGTAATATCATCAGGGAGAGGAATCTTTTCAGTGATTCGTAATCTGTTACCTAACGATTAGAGAAGATGAGTGTGTTGGAGAAGTCAGACCGATATCATCTGGAATGTGTCACAAAGACACAGCAGAGCCTCGATCCTCAAACTGGAATCTGTACTGGTAGATCCTAGTCAAGATTGGAGACCACAGACAGAACACAAAGTACATGTGATTCAGAGGAAGGGGAGGAAACAAACAATGTGTGATTGTACAAGAAAAGGCAGAATAAAGAACAGAGTTCATTTTTCTTATTTTGATAGATTACTTTTCAAACATCTGCAAATTTTGAGCCACTGACTGAAAGTTTTTTTCTAAGATACTTTTGAACAACTTGACCATCCAGATGCCTAAATATTGAAAATGAAAGGATCACTTGTATCACTTGCTGCCACAATGACGAGGCTCAGAGCACTTCAAAAGTTTGAGCCACTGCATGAGATGTATATTCATGTCAAGTAAAGTCCCTGTCATTATTTATATTATTGTCATAACATTGCAAGTTCACTTTCCAATCTTTTGCTCCCTGTAATATTGCTGCCTTGCCTGCATACCTATACACACCTTAACTCAGTATGCAGCTCTGGTGATGACTGACAGTAAGCTTGACTGACACAAACAGCTTAAAGATTATTCGATCACACAGACACTAAAAAAACAATCCCAATACCAGACCTGGTGAGCCATCAACTATGTCAACTGTGGGTTTCCTGCAGCTGAATGACAAATTTTTACTGTTATGCTGATTGTCTCGGTAAATTTATATTGTTTTTCAATAATAAAAATGTCATTTTGACCTTTATGCTAGTGCAAAAGGCATGAAACATTTTAATCTGCTTGTTTTAATCATAAATTTATGCTGTAATTTTGTGATTTCAACTGCTGCACCTGTTCTGGGCGGCGTTACCACCTGCTTGGCCTAGCTGTAACCGCAGGACGCAAACACATAAGGAGTGGTTAACCTGTTAACAAACAAGGTGTGTCCACCTCCCCTGTTTGTGAGTGGAGAGTAGGATCACACCCCTCCAGAGGTCCATAGATATAAATACACCTGCTGAGATGCTGCTAGAAGTCACTGCAGAGCGAGAGTGAGGTTTGGGGCCAGGAAGAGAACTGAGCATCATCAGCAAACAGTCGACACCATGGGAAACTGTGCAGAGGGAATGAGCAACTATTTCTGCCGACAAAAGAACACCAATGTCCGTGTTAGTCTGCCGGCAGTCTGCTTCGTCTGGCAGATTGCTATGATCATACTGTTTGGAGTTTTCATCCGATATGATGAAGAGTCTGATGCCCATTGGGTGGAGTACAAAAGGAAGCAGAACTTCACCAGCGACATTGAAAATGACTTCTACTTCAGATATCCCAGTAAGTGCAAAATTGGACAGACATGCATTGATAGATGATCTAGTTAATGTCTGATCATTTCTTTAATCTTTTGAAGGAAGGCTTTAAAATTATCACATCGATACTGCACTTAAATATCAGATATCTCAAGACCAAACAACTCATGATACTAACAGGCTGTGTTCCTGCTGTCATAAAGGGAAGGAACATTTAAAGAAAACTGCAATACCTTATTTCTTGAAAAAAAAATAATCATCTTTGTAACTTTGAAATATTAGCAATACACACTGGAAACTTTAACTTTAATAGGCTGACTTCTGATGATCAAATAATCAAACAGAAAGTAAATATCATTATATTTTAATCACACCATGAAGTTCTCCATCTGTAATGAAATCCAAATGCCTTTTATCAGTTTAAGTAGATTAAATGTATAAAATCTCAACTTGCATGTGAACACAAATTGATAAATTGAAAATCTAATCTAATAAAGAATATTTTGTCAGAGAAGGGTTGGTGAAATTATTTTCATGTACTCATTTATTTCTTCCCTTCTCTCCAGGCTTCCAGGATGTCCATGTCATGATCTTTGTTGGATTTGGTTTTCTGATGACCTTCCTGAAACGCTACAGCTTTGGCGGTGTGGGCTTCAACTTCCTGATTGCCTCCTTTGGTCTGCAGTGGGCTCTTCTCATGCAGGGCTGGTTTCACTCCCTTGACCACACTACAGGGAAAATTACCATCGGAGTAGAGAGGTAAGGCTCCTCATTGCGTCGTCTCTCATGCAATGAACTTCAAATGCCAGAGGGCTGGGGAGGTATGTTATGTAACTCAAAGATGAAACCTCATTCTTCAACCTGTCAGAGTTTGTCATTGTTACAGGGGGAAGGACTTGAACTTGACAAGTCTCTTTTGTAAGAGAAGTCAGAACATACGAGCAAAATATTTTGTCTAGTCCTGCCTGCAGGTGTGCTGGAGGTAAAGCGTGTACAGTTTTCAGAGTGCAGGTCCAAGAATTAGTCACTCAGGTTCATCCTCTAAAAATATGGTTGAGTCACGGCTGGATGTTCTTGTACTGGTGATCGTATTTAAATCCTTACCACCACATTCCCTTCAAATTTGATCATATTTCAACCTAAATTTACTCTTTTTTTAAGGTTTACTGCAAAGTTACAATAAAGATACTGTTTGTTGTTTTGTATTATTATTAATATATTGATGTATTTATTCCAGCTACGTGTGTTTTCATGTAGTTTAATGTAAACTCATACAGATGTATTGATATTATTTAACTTTAAAAAGTACATCAAGACAAAGTGATAACATATTGATAATCTTATTCAAACTCTTTAAAGACTCTTTGGTTTAGCAGTGCCAATTCATTGCCATATTTGAATCGTATTGGAAAAGAAAAACACTCGTCAAACATTATTGCCAGTGAGATTTCCATTTTGAAAGGCTGGTAGTCCATTCCTGTTGAGACTCATCAGTTAAATATAGTATTCATTGTGACTCCGTTTCCACTTACTCAGTCTTTGTCCATGTCCTTTACCTTGTCTCTACCACAGTCTGATCAATGCCGACTTCTGCTGCGCCGGCTCCCTGATTGCATACGGAGCCCTCCTTGGTAAAGTGAGTCCTGTCCAGCTGTTGGTTGTCACCTTATTTGGCGTCACGCTGTTTGCTGTGGAGGAATACATCATCCTGGACCTTCTTCATGTGAGTCTCAACAATCCAAAATCCTTTCACTGGTCACCTCACCAATGTTTTTAATCGTCTTTTGATTAATTCTCTATCTTTTTGTGTTTTTCTTTTCAACAGTGCAGAGACGCCGGGGGCTCCATGGTCATCCACGCCTTTGGAGGGTACTATGGTTTGGCCATCTCTTGGGTCCTTTATCGACCAAACTTACATCAAAGCAAACGCCTGAATGGATCAGTCTATCACTCTGATATGTTTGCAATGATCGGTGAGCAGTCAGTGGTTTAAACTGTAAACCTCAGCATTATTTTAACACACATTTTAAAAATACTAACGATGATCCAACTCTTCCCTAACAGGCACATTGTTTCTGTGGATGTTCTGGCCCAGTTTCAACTCAGCCATCACAGACCACGGTGACGGACAGCATAGAGCAGCCATCAACACCTACCTGGCCCTGGCCTCCTCCGTCCTCACCACAGTGGCCATCTCCAGCATGTCACAGAAGAGAGGGAAACTGGACATGGTAGCTCTCTTTTACCAGGAGAAATATAAAACTGTGTCATCTACCATTTTCAATTTCTCATTTCTGACATTTTGTTTTTTCTGACAGGTGCACATCCAAAACGCCACTCTGGCAGGTGGAGTTGCCATGGGAACAGCAGCAGAGTTCATGATCACTCCTTATGGTTCATTGATCGTGGGTTTCCTCTGCGGTATTATCTCCACGTTTGGATACCTGTTTATCACGGTGAGCTTGTGTCATCTTTTTAATGCTCTCTGACTGCAGAAAGACACAAAAACAGGGGAAAGTTTATATGTATTTCATCAAATTTTATGATAACCTTTTCATTTAATTTACATGTATTAACTACAAAACAAGTCTTTAAAAAAGTAAAATAGTTCACAAGATAGAAGTGAAGTTTTCAACATTTTTTGAAAGACATTACATAGAGACAGCTTTTGTTTTTTAACATTACTGTAGGCCTTGAATCTTTTTAAAAGAACTTTTCATGGTGAAAAGGGATTTTGTCGAGACTTAAAAGAGAATGTGGTGTAGATTCACAGAAAATAAATGACATGTGAAAATATTTTCTGAGAAAATAAATAAAAATTATCTCCAAAAACTGGTTTTGTGGACTTCGGTGAAAGCCCCAGCGTAAGTATCTAACACACTGCTGTTCCTCTTATTTTCAGCCCTTCTTGGAGAAATATCTCAAAATCCAGGACACATGCGGTGTCCACAACCTCCATGCTCTGCCAGGGATGCTGGGTGGCTTCACAGGTGCCATTGTTGCTGCAGCTGCCACTGAATCTGTCTACGGCGCAGAAGGGTGGGTCACCAACATATACAAACATTTCTTATCTTATCAAAGAACCAGTCTTAGCCTGTTTGTTGACAACAATGTGATAAAGTGAACAGGTTCTGTCTTGTTCTTTAGACACAGATTAAAACTTTGAAAAACACATATTGAACCCTGGATTAAAATTCCGTTACAGCTTGGTCAACGTCTTCGACTTTGAGGGCGAATTTAGCGACAGATCAGCAGGAACTCAGGGAGGATTCCAGGCTGCTGGCACATGTGTGTCTATCGCATTTGGGCTGGTTGGCGGTGCAATTGTTGGTAAGTTTTTCTATATCTAGAGTGAATATTGTTGAGGCATGTTACATTCATGAGATTAATCATCTGACCACTCTTTAAAAAACAGTCCTCTGTACAAACTCACAAATGTGGCTTTTCTTGGATTTGAACAGTTGTTCTGTCTCTACAGGTATGATCCTCAGGTTCCCTATCTGGGGCGACCCTGCCGATGACAACTGCTATGATGATGAAGTTTACTGGGAGGTAAATGTGCTGAGCTTTAGGGCGTGAACATTTTATCATAAAATCAATCTGTCTCCTTAGCTTACCTCTTGTCCTCACGTTTCAGGTTCCTGAGGATGAGGAGAGCATTCCTCCAGTTCTGGAGTACAACAATCACATGATCCACAAGCACCAAGACATGTAAGCTCACTCACATTGGACACAAATCCACTTTCACTCTCAATTTCAACATTACTGATGTAACATTTCTGTCTTTGTTCAACAGATCTGAGTCAAACTTCTCTGTGGACCAGAGTTAGAGCCTCACAGTGAAACACCGTCCTCCTGACATTACTTTGAAGTTGATGTAGCTGTGAACTGCAGTGAAAAAAAGAAACACTTATTTATGAAGGAGCCACCCTTAAAAATTGGCAATTTTACCAGGAAGGAATATTTTCACACACTGTCTCTACCTGCTGCTCTTGTCCTGCACCACGAACACCTGATTAACTTGTGTAGCATTTAAGTCCATGATTGAAAGCATAAGGTTATGACAACACTCCACATATGGGTGAATTATTCACTTTATTTTCTGTAAAATTATTTGATTTTATTATTCCTAACAACTATGTGATAACCAAGAAATGTCAGGTACTGAACATGGGCCTAAAAAGTGAGAGACAAGTAATGTTGATATGAGCGATCGCATTACTGCAAGTGGTTGCACGCCTTTAGCTTAAATGACAGATGAAAAAGTTTGTGCCTCTTGATTGTTAATAATTCTTGTTGATAATGTTTGCCCTTGTAGTTCTTATGAATGAAGACTTAATGTAGTTTTATAAAGGATTAAAAGTGGGAGGTGTCTAATTGAAGGAAAAGTGCAGCCAAAATTAATCTGTTTTTGAGAATATATCTTATTTAGTTATTTCTTTAGAATGATGTAAATGCAGTTATAAGCTGAATGTACATATGATTGAAAACACTTTTTATTTGTTGTAGAGTATACATGTTCTCAGGAGGGAAGTTTTCAGTGATTACAGTTTCCAGTGATTTGATTTGTTTAGTGTTGACCTAGATATACTTAAAGTGATCGTATGTGAGATTGTACTTTTTGTGTTATTGATATTTGATAGTTAAAAATGTTGTCAATGATAAACCCCATGTAACTGAAATTACACAATAAAGCTATTTAATTGTCTAAACATTTGTTTTGCACATGATTTCACTTGTTGCACAAGGGGAACATGGACAAAAAAAAAAAAAAAATGGACAATGACAAAAGTAATTGTTATATAAGTACAGTCTACATTTGTTCATGTGTGGTGCTGTAAACAAAAGCACATCACCAGCAGTTGTATTCACATTAAAAAGTAGAATAAATAAGGTGATTTCTGAAACAGATGTTGCCTTGAATCATTAGGAGTATGAGATGACCACAAATTCATTGATGTGTAAAAGTCATGACTATATCCGTAAAGTGTTGATCCATGTGCCATCTGCAGGTAGCTTTAGGAAGAACTGTCTCATAATACATAATGTAGCATTTCCTGCATGTGTTGTTTGTTGAGTCTTTCTCTTGATGAAATAATACGTAAAATCCAAACAAACATTCTTGAGCTTTTGGTTCCTATCATAAATCTACCTTCCTTTGATTGGGACAAAATTTTGCTCACAAGCCCAATACGATACTTGATGATGTCCTGAGACCCCGACAGCTTTAATTGTCTCAGTTTTAGCACAAGGAAATGACCTCACTTCAGTTTACGTATTTGAAGTGTAGTATCCCCATCAGTCCACAAGATGGTAATACAGGGTTAAAAGTGTTCTGGGGAACCCCGTATCAAAATTAAACGAACACACAATTTTGAGCTCTTTGAAATGCCATTTCACAAAATGTACTTTTAAAGAACCATCAAATATGCAGATAGAGGGGACCAAGCAATCCAGAGAAATAGTTTAAAGAAATTCTAGTGCGAACAAAAGTAATTTGACTGTATATAAATATTTGTTTAAATAAGTTAAATTGACTTCAGTGGATTGACACATCAGTCATGATCGCAAAATCAGCTTCAACAAACATTTTGTTTTTGATTTTGTCAACTGCTCCCAGGTCTGGGACTAAAAAAACTTCCAAATGAGGATAATACATATGTTTGTAGTAGCACTATGTAGAAAACTTCTTGACACTTCTTGACAGATACATATGCAGCATTATTTGTTTATTTGTTCGTACGTGTGTGTGGGGAGGGAGTGGAACATTTTGTACTTGTCTGAATTGTTATGAAGTGACTCAACTGAAACCACATATTTACAGAATGACAGTCATTTTTATACAGTAGACAGGACTGGACTGGAGGACTGTTGGTTGTAGTGAAAAAGAAAAGTGTGTCAATAATTAGTTTTATACAGCCATCATGGTATTTTCTTTTTGATAAATGTCAAGTTTATCACAAGAATATGAATAAAAATCTGAGAGTAAATCTTGTTAACATGCTTTCTGTAGCTGCCCTCAGATTTGATTGGCATGTTAAGTCATGTGACTTTGATCATTTAAAGCCTCTCAATTAGCTTTAGGATCAGATTGTTTAATCAATAAAGGTCACTGAGTGAGTGAAATTATATTCAGACTGTAATTGAATTTTGACTTGACAAAAGTTGCTGGTGCAGGGAGTCAAGGAGGGTTAAACAGGGTCCTGCAGGTCATTGTGGGCTGCCTTTCTGCCTGCAGTGCTCTGATCTCTCTGCTGCCCACTTTATTCTGATGGTAATGAGGCCTGGACAAACCAGTCAATAAGGCCGCTTTCTGACCAATCTCTGCGACATTAATGAACTCTAAATGCACTGGGTGGACATGTGCTTTGTGCTGCTGTGTCAGGTGACAGACGCTTTGGTGAGTGAAGAAGTCTGTAAGAGACCTGATGGGGCGAGACAGGTTAACTGAGGAGTTATATGCAAGGATAGTGGGGATTTTTAAGGACAGGGCAAGTAACACAAAGAATTTGGATTGTTTTCTGACCTATTATTATTGAGCCCGTGTAACATGATATTCAATGCATCAGTCTGGTTGTGTGTAGCTGAATCAGCAAACTTTGGCGATAAAAACTCTACATTCACTGATTTGCAGCCTTTCATGTAGCAAATTACAGAGGTGGACATGGACGAGCTTTGTTCAGAGACATTAGGGATTTTAATTCACATTGTCTTTTTTCAGCCTTGATGACTGTTTCCATCCAAACCACTGTAATATTGCTGTCTCTCCTAAATCACTGTATGGTCCAGCCTTGTGGAGACCTTATGAGAGTGGACGTAGCTCCTCTTGTGAATCATCCCACCCTGGGGAGGGTGTTTGTGAAACCACTTGGTCTGCTATTGTCCTCTTGGGACTGGCCTCCTCTGAAAAGCTGCAGAAAGCCTGTAATCAGATTAAAGGTTGCTGGGAAGGGGAGGGGGGATTTTCGAGGCCTAGCGAGGAGGTCGTGGAAGTTCTCTAATCAGTACCTGCCATTGAAGTGCAGAAGAGGGGCTAAATAACGCAGCAGGAGGGGAGGCGGGAGCCAAGCTGAAGGGACAAATTGGCCTGTTGTTGGAGGGGGATAATGGGACAATAAGGGAGGGGAGTATAATCAGGGAGTATAGAGGGGAAGAGAATAGGTGCAATGGGAAAAAGGAGGAGACTGAGGAACTCCAAAGGAGGTGGCCGTGTCCCATCCTGCCCTGGCAATTATATCACCTTTGTGAGCTGATTGGAGCTTGCTGCAGAATCCATCTGGGCCTCAGATGGACATTAGAGGAGACTTTTTCTCACTGTCCTCATCTAGAAGGCTCATGAGGACATACCAGGGTCTTTTATTGTCCAAATGAAACTCATGAACCCACTAGTGACAAAAAGCATCCACCCCTCAAGAGGGTCCAAGTGCCTCATGAACTCTCACTTACTTGATTAATTGTTTTCTCTAAATTCAAAAAGGAACAACATATATGAAGACTCTTTAAAACATAATCTTTCTGTTTCCATGGCCAATAAAAATAAAAGTTTTATGACAATTAAAGGAGTTTTACCAGGAGATAGACCCGCCCCTCTGTCCAGAGCCTGTGATAAAGATGTCATATCACAAGATGTCCTGCCGGTCTCTGAACTCCACCAAACTCTTTATGGATCCCTCTCTGTCATTGTGCTTACTCATCAAACATCCACTCCCTGAACAACCAGCATCCCTAAAGGCCAGTCTCTACCTTTTTATTCATTTGACAAGAGTCCATTTGTTGGGGTCAAAGGGGAAAGTCTCAGCACTGCTGCAGAGGAGTGCAGGGAAATCACTATTCATAGCCAGGGAGTTCTTTGATTGTGGCACAAAGGCCACTGGTTCCCTGCTGGAGTGAGAGAAGAAGAAACGAGAGGTCCTTAAAGACATATGTGAGGGATCCAAACTGAATGCTTTAGCTAATGAGGTGCTCCACCTGCCCCTGAGCTCTAATTACTGCGTAAGAGGATGATCATTACCAGCAAAAGAAAACTCTCTTAGTAGCATTATTTTTTTGGCTTGTGTATTACATATAGCCAACAGTTGGGAACACTTTAACTTGTAGCCAGCAAAGATTTTTTTTTTGTGCTGGATGGACCAAAGTCTCTTTATTAACACCTGCAAAGATGTGTCCCATACTGAGGAGGTTTGACAGATTTCAGACACAGTTCTGATCATCAGTCTCATTTGCAAAAGTGAATATTATGAAGCACATTAATTCACAGATTTCAAAAAAGGCTTCACTTAGGTTACACCACTGAGGCTGGGCCGATATTTTATGCTGTCCATAGTTCCACACAAAAAACACACACATGAACACAGTTCTGGTCTCAGTGAAGTCACCTGTCAGGTTAGGAGGAGGTGTTCGGGTTGGAAATGTTGACTCCATCCACCTCTTTGAGTTATGCAGGAACCAGCAACAGAGGTGGAGTTGAGGCCTCAGCCTTACCGCCTGGCAAACAGCTACAACATGCCCACCTGTCAGTCAAATTAGCCACACCCCCAACTATGACTAATTTTGCACAAGTCTAACTGTGAAGTTGGACTGAGCATTAGAGCCACACTAAAAAATGTTTTTATAAATATATAACCTTCTATAGAATTCTTTTGTGTCATTTACTACTGAGAGTAAAGTCTCAGCTAAATCATACTTTCATGAAGATACATTTTTATAAGAATAGAGTTGTGGTAAATTTTTTAAGAATAAAGTCGCATCTAAGTTCTTATACCACGAGAATGAAGTCTTTATGATACATTATATGATTAAAGTAAAATAATAATAATAATAATAATAATAATAATAATAATAATAATTTAGTCTTCAATTAGAATAGGGATACCACACATCACAGTTTTTGCACAAATATTGTCTGATTCTGACATTAATGACTTTATTTTAGTCACATTATGATTTAACTTCAACTTCAATTTCTTAACAATATGACATCAATCTTGTAACATTAATACTTAGTTCTATGACTTTATTCTTGTGTGAAATCAATTTACAGAAACTTTTTCCCTGAGATAATAATT